TCGACGCGTTGCGGCCATAAAGCGAGAAATCGCCGGACGGAAGAGAGCAGTTGTGAGGGAATGAAAAAAAAGAGTAGTGTGGCAATATTTATTCCCATGCTTGTGCGAACTCGCGTGTGTATATACGTACTGGCGTGTCTCCTTATCACGATTATCCGACCGGCGCGTTCAAAACGCTCGCGCAATCAAAACACGTCTGCGCGCGATTCGTCACGATAATTAATTCGCTCGCGCGATTCCCACGGCGAATCAAAATCGCACGGTATTATTCGCGTGCTCGTTTCGCGAGATGTATTCCAGATGTGTTTCCAGGTCATCTTCTCTCGTCGGATATGACGTGCTCTCGAAAATTCTCTTCGAGACATATCTAGAATTGACTTTAAAAAGAATAAAGCTGGCGTCTCTACCCGCTTACGTTCGTTTTTATCGCTGACATATGTACGTTTCTGGCGCGCACCGCGTTGACAACCGGACATTGAAAGGACCGTGCCGGAAAATGGAGAAGCACCGAAATCGCTACGCGAGTATCGCCACACATTTCACTTGCAAATAAAAACTCACAGTCGGGATCTCTGCCGGTTTTTTACAGGCGTCCCCCGTGTCGCTTCGACACGGTCGCATCCGTTATCGTTGCACCACTACGATAACGATCGGAAGTGCCGCGCTTTTTCCCGCGAGCCGAATTTATTGCGACACTCGATCGAATCCGGTGGTATCCACTGCAGCTTCCGCGTGTTCGCGAGTCTACAAGAGAGCTGGAGCACAAGATATGATGACCGATCGCAACCATAGTGACGATCAATTTTTCGCAAAAGCGCGATTGCAAAGAAAAAGAAAAATACGGCAGTCCAAGCGTGAGAGAGAGAGAGAGAGAGAAAGAGAGAACAATGCGCGCGGAAGCGCGAAATCGCCGATAAGCCGTGTGTACCTGCCTTCGACACACATGGAAATTAGATCACCGTGTCACGCATACGCGGCGCGAGCACGCAATTCGCTACACGCACACACATTCATAAACACATATACATGCATCGATACGGAATTTACAATTCCATCTCGCTTGGTCAGGAATCGTGTTTCGAGACGGTATACTTTATGACCGCCATCGAGCCGAGATGGAGAGGAAAGTCCAGACGGAGGAAAGAGAACGTAAAATAAGGTGTAAATATCGAAGATAAAAATTGTTGGTGTAAAAGAAAGAGAGAGTACCTTCCTGAATAATATTTATATATCTGAAGAAAGAGTGCCATATTTTTTATTCGATTTAGAGAGAGAAGATTAATATATTTTGCAATCAGAGTTACATCTTGAGTATCTTGTGAAATATAGACGAACAAACTTTGTAACGTAACAGTGATGATTAATCGAATTATGAGAAAGTAATCGCAGAATGATGGAGCTATCACAGGCACCTTTTGATGTCTCCTTACCACGCTACACTTTTCCCATCACGCGGAAAGTGGAATTGTGTGTCGGCTCCCATTACTATGTCTAACGGTATACTTTGTTCATTAATACGTTTATCGTACTGATGCTAATTAACGGTAACTTTACTCATCAATCACAGACAGGTCTCCTGCCTTACGAAGATGAAAGTAATCGTGCGCGAGTACTATGAGCTCGTGATCCTTCCGCGTAATTAATGCACTTTATTCAAAATCGGAAATAAAATATCGGTCTCGTATATATATATATATTTATATATATATATATAATCGATATCATTTACGGCGACGAATACGAATAATTTCATTTATTCGATTTTGCCTCGTACGCGAAAATTGAAATTATTTCCTGGGCGTATACTACAAAACAATTGTTGTTTAATGTTGTTAAAACACATACACATACCTTGTGTACACAGTCGGGATACGGTGGAGTACAAAATGGCAAATATGGGCGCGGCGGCGTACGTTTATCGAGACCATTAAGAAATCATGACATCATACCCTTGATGCAATGAAGAAACGGAGAAGGGGAAACGACAATACGTATAGTCCTAAACCAACATTGACAGCGTTTATTATACCTGTGACGGCTTACGTTGCCGGTTAGACAATATAGGTGGTCCTAAAGTTAACTATAGCTCCACGAATGATAAGATAACGCGGATGTGGCAATTGAAGAATACCATGAGTGGAAATTAAAAAATTACTTCCCGCACGAAAGAAGACCTTTTGTCGCGTTTACATGATTATATAGTCCTACATCGACTTTAGAGTCGAGCAACTTTATTTCAGTCTCGCGCTTGATGTACACATTTGCATCTTGTGTCATCTAAGATTAGCGGCTCTAGAAGAACTCGGAGAAAAGAATATGCAAGTTAAAAATATGGAGGAAAAGATGAGAGGTTTTTTAGTTTGTAGATTCTTCTTTCCTTTTTGGCTCTCTTCGAGATAAATAAAGGACAAGATTACGGGAATAAATATAGAAAATTGCAAAAAATATAAAATATAATTGGCATATAATTGCTCTCGCGCGTAATGTGGTTTTTTCAAGTGCTCTTCTCTTCGCGTTTCGAGGATCTCTTTTGCACGATAACGTTTATTATGCAATTGCCACTTGACGTACGACGCAAGAAGGCGGTCTCGTATCTAACGAAAAACATTGCCTCGTAACTCCGGTCGGTGATTGTGGCAAAGCACCATTACAGTCATTTGCAATTTTGATTACTGCAAAATACGTGCCGGAGCTTATAATTTGTTTATATTATGACCAAGTCTTACATTTTCTACATGATTTACCGAAGTCGATGAGTCTCGCTTCGATGTTTCTTTAAAAATTATGTGACACAAGCAGCATCGAAGTAAACAAAAAATAATAATTATAAAAGAAAATGAAAGGACAAAAAAGAAATCAAAGTAACTTGACTTGCTGAATATTACCGGCAGGAGCGTACTTTCTTTTCCGGGTTACGACACGCATCGGCCTTTACCATAAATTTAAATATATCGATGAGATGGACGTAAATCTAGCGAACTTGTGCGTATGGTAACCGAAGTGTCGATATCGCTAGATAGATACTGACATATATTTCATTGCCAGAAAGCGATAGGGTACGTCATAGAGCACCGAGTATCGAGGAGATAACCAGCTAACGTTCCAGCCGACATAAAGTAAACGTTTTCCCTTCCACCATCGGATATCACGCTCGACTGCCGGACGTTCGGACGTCTGCCGATCGATTTCCCTATCTCTCTCTCTCTCTCTCTCTCTCTCTCTCGGAAATAACCTTCAATACGTTTCCCCTCTTTTATTTGATTCTTTTCCATCTATCTATCATGATCACGTATCGATTCAAATCTAGAAAGCGTAGAAAATCGACACGTCTGATATTAACGCGCTTGTCATCTTTCTCGATTATCACTGGTCCGGATCGCGCGCTAAAACTCAATAGTAATAATCCGCGCGAGGATTAAATAGTCTTTTACGTCAAACGGTGCATCCGCATTGTTAAATGTGTGGCTGCACAGGTGACTGGTAATCGGTTAACATTTAAGTAGGAAGTAGAAATCTCGGCCGCGAGTTTAAAAGGTTAAACAATCTCGAGACATCGCCGGTTGATCTTCGCACCGTGTGTATTCATCGGTAACGCAGATTAAAAATCGATGGATCCTATTGTGCGACTCTAACTGCGAGATAATCGAGTTCTCGGAATAATGCCAGGCCAGATGATCGACCTGCTTTGTGTGCAGGCGGAATTTTAATTTTCATCTTCATATTTATTATGTACGTACGTTCCTGAGTCGAAATTTTGTTCTTATTTTTAATCTCAATTTTCCCATCTCTTCTAAATTCTAGAGAATTTCTATTTCAGTTTAATTTACATAGGAATCGAGATTTACTACTTTGTACCTTACATAAGCAATAAACGAACAGTTTCTCACATTTAGAGATTTAAAAGATTTCGGCAAAACTATAGATTAAATAATTTCAAAAGAGAGTGACTTGATTGCTTAAAATAACAAAGTAAATATTAGATTGAAAACTGAGATCGAAAGTAGGAGAAAAATTTCGATTCAGTTTCTCACACGTGATACAACGCACGTGCGCGACTGAAGAGCATCATCAGGCTAGGAAGAATGGTCGACGCTCATCTCGGCTCGCGCCGAGATTAGCCGTCCTCGACTATGAACATTAATCGAAGAAGAAGAAACTCAGCAGTAAGTAGCCGCGGAAGATTGCATTAGATTGCGAAAGAGGAGTCCATTAACGATCCGACGATCTTTGACCGAGCATTGCGACGACTCGTCGCGTACGTTTTAACCGCACGTGCGTCGATCATTCCGCTTTTACCCGATTTCGCTAAATTATACCTATCCATTTACGGGGGAAAAAATATCGAAATATCATCTCGTTAGGGGTCAATTAAGCGGAGTCGTCAACGTGACTGATGCATGATTCGAGGGTCGAAATCATCTAGAAAGTCGTTAAAGGCTCGCGCGTGGAGATCGCTAATCGCGATTCTTTTCGCCGCTGCTTTGCAGATGGCTAAGCTGATGCCACGGGAAAATTGGTATTCAGCAGCTATTCGAAAAGACTCGAGATCTCGCTCTGTGATTACATCTCCTTCTTCCGATTAAAGAAAAAAGAGGAAAAGAATGCACGCTGCCGAGAACTGTGTCAAGGGGCGACTACTCGCGATTATTTGTGCAACGCCCCGCGAACGACGATTATCTCTCGCGTGCAATCGTGCGTGCACCCACAGTAGCCTTACTACAGTTCTCGCGGTCGGAGAAATCGCGGATCTGAAACTTTGAGATACGACGACCGACCCGCTCTGTAATCCGGATTTCCTCTCGAGATCTCGCGGTCGAAACTCGCGAGACAATCGTACTCTCGCGCAAAATCGGATCGAAAAGTTTGCCGATGGAATCTCATCGATTCTCGATTCTGTGCTTTATTCGCGAACCTCTGATACGGTGCGTATAATTGATTTAAATGACTTAACTTTTCGTTTCCAATAAACTTCTCCAACAGCTTATTTCAAGCGTCGAGAATTTCGCAAACTCTTTTATTGTTAGAAGCGTGCTAGGTGGAAAATAATGGAGTTTGTGCAGAACGTTCATGCTATTTATAAACGTTATAATCAGAAAAAGAAAAAGACAGAAAGGCAGAAATAATGTAGCCATGTAAAGAGAAGAAAGAACTATTCGATTATTTTGCAGAAACTTGTGGAAAATCAGAAATAAATACGACAAAAATCTCCGACTTATCTGGAACTGGAGAAGGAAACGGGAAAAGAATAATGGAAGATACTAGTAGAACGAGAAAGAAAATAAACCAAAAGTTAGAAACAGGAAGGTTTTACGTAGAAGATGAATGAGATAAAAAAGTAACAGCGACGAGAAAACCGAGTTTGCACATATTTATCGCCATCAACACTGCAAAGTAAATAACTATCAATCCAGTTTATCTGTGGCGATGATAAATTCTTGTACGAAGGTTGTAGAGCCAGTAAGATATCGACCCCGGCTCTCTCGCAGTAAATGGCGCGCCGATTAGTCAATTAATCAATTATAAAAGTATGACGTTAATATCCATGAGTGAAATCGCAGCCTCCCTCGCTTATTTCGTTGCGCTCAGTGATTATACAGGAACAAGTCTAGTCATCGTCACGACTGGCGAAGGTATAATATATCCTCGTGAACGAGAAGACGAGCAGTGCGAATTTTATTTTTTTAAGATATACGAATGATTGATGTCAAGGCTGTGCTAGTAGTGCTTTAATATTCTATTAAAAAATTATACGAGAAATCATGCGCGGACACTTGATCGCGTATCGGCTGCTTTCCTCATCGAAGAGAGAGAGAGGAGAACAAGAGAAATGCGCGTGTCGAGGCGAGCACCAACGGCCAACGGATGCTTTAAATTCAGGTGCCGCGACCGGTATGCAAAAATTCACCGAGAAGGAATACGGAGAGAGGGATGGAGGTAGAGTACCTCGTAGCAGGGCCGGTGTATGGTCAGTTGGTTCGTTGACCGATCTCTTCTCCTCTCCTCTCCTCACCGCCCACCCTCCCTTCGCCTCTCCACGATACTCTCGTCCCGCGCCGTGGTCCTTTTGCCTTCCGGCACTCGAGAGAGCGGATTGGAAGGGAACGAAGAAGGATCGCTCCTTCGTCGGACACGCGTATATATATACATAACGCGATCGACCACGAAAATCCGCGACCGATCGACCCGCGAGGTTACGACCGACTTTCCTGAGTGATCGCCGAATTGAAGATTATTTATGCATGACGCAGACGCGAGGAGGGAAGACTCACCTTTCTCTCAATCGCGCGAGAAGCGGCTTGGCTATACCTCTTTTTTTTTTTTTTTGTCAGGAAGCCGATCTGTCAAGTGCGCGACGTTGGGTCAAGGAGAGTCTTCTCTCTTTACTCTCGAAATCGTCGAACCCTCGAAGAGGAACGATTGACAAACGAGACTTTTATGCTCCGATGGCTTGTAAAACGAACCCCTTAAAACGACGTCCCGTTGATTATCGTATCGAGCTCTTCGCTCGTCCCGTTGATATTACACGCAAGACGCGAGAGCGCGAATCCGCAAACCGAAAATAAATCATCACCGGAGGAGCAATTCTATTAATTATCGCGTGCATCTCCTTCAGCGCGCACGGGAGAGTCCACTTCCGGTCCGCTGGTTTCCCTCGAGAAATCGATAGATGTGACGACGGTGCGCGCACAAGTCCCGGGACAGGTCGCCTTCGAGCTGCTGGCGCCTTCGATCGTAATTAGGTGGAGGAAGGGGCGAGAGGAGGGATTCGTAATTAAGCGCGAAAGTTATCAACCGTATCGATTGAAACCAGCAACTTCGATGCGCATCAATCAAATCGGCGGCTCTTAGTTGACATAGCTTTCATCGTTCGTAGATGCTGCGACGACCAAAAGTATTATATAATGAAAGGATTAATCGATATCTTTGAAAAAATGAGACAATCCGTAACCAGAATTTATAATAATAAAATAATAATTATTTTATAATAATTTAATTTAATCATCTTATAATTATTATTATTAAATCATTTTAATTAAATCATCTTATAATTATTATCTTATAATAATTTAATTAAATATTATTATCTTATATTGATAATAATAGAATAATTATTATCTTATAAAAATCTCATGATGCGATTGTCAAAAAAATATTCAACAATTTTTTTACATGTTATAATAATTTTTGAATATTTTTTCTTATAAGTGGGAATTATTATCTTGTGTTCCATTTATATGTAGGTACTCGATGAATCTGACTAATCATCGACCCGACCTGATTTACGTTCGAGGAATTTTCTTTTTAATTCTCGACTTACAATACTCGCTATTTTTTCGAATCCTTGTAACAAACACGGTCCTCATTTCGCGCGGCTTTGCCGTCGATACGAGTTATCGAGCGTTCTCTCTCTCTCTTGCTGCACGTTTGCAATTATTGGAAATAACGTCGCACGCAATAGCACGGTATATCGAAGAATGCGTTCGCAATTGCTTTCAACTGTCGTTTCAACTTCGACAGCGGACGCCGCTTGTGATTCTTTTTCGATACATCTATTTTCATTATCTTTTAATGGAGAATAGAATTCAATTACATCATACAATACTGCGTTATAGCTTTCAATTAATTGAAACGCTTTATATAGTTCGCAGGCATCGCTTCATCATTATTAGAAGGAAAATAAAATTAACATCCGCGTTGCAACGAACGTTTGGAATTTAACGATAATGAATTATTCAAATGATGGACAATTATAAATAAATCGTGACAGAAATCTATTATTATAAAATTAATTAATAAATTCTAGGATTATTCGTTCGAATCTTTTTAAATTTCGTACGTTAAAAGAATTCACATGCCACGTCGCATCTTTTAGCACGAATTCAAATTTGCGCTCTTAGCATCCGCATTCGAAAACCCGGCGTCTATTTTACGCCACTCATTTGTATCCTCGAACATTTCGGAGAGACACGAAAGAGGTCGAGACGCGTATAGAGACGCGAATGCATTTCTCTCCCGGAATTTCTCTCAAACTCCTCCTCGAACGTGGCCTACACCGCCTTCTCCGCGAAAGACCGCCGAAGAATAATCGTCGGAGCCAAGCCGGGACACGTTATATGCGCGTGTGATTAACCGGCGCGAAATTAAACCGGTTTCCGAGACGGTGTCTCGCGGTGGATCCGCGCGCGGTCCGATAAATGAAATTAACGAATATCGATTCCGGCTTAAGGCGCGAACGAGTCGAGTAGTTTCGACCAGCTATGCATAAGAGAACGACCGCTTCTTTTAACGGAACGGCGAGAAATTACACGGATAGCGAACAAAATTGCAACGCAAAATCGTTATTGAAGGAAATAACATTTAGAAGGCTGGATTTCTGCTCCAACGTTGTATAAAACGACTATTATTATTTATCCGGGACACATTATCCTTATGTTAGCGCTGTGCTAATGCCGGTTTGAAGGTAAGCCACGCCAATCATAGAGCCAGTTCTGTGCTTCAAGTGGATAAGCCAGCGGCTGATTAACAAAGTTTATTTTCTCCATGTTATATATACATATTTTCTGTAAAAGAAGCAAATCTTTTTTCAAGTTAGATAAGTCAGTTAGATAAGTCAGTTTGTCAACCCAAGCAAGTCACGATAAAATATCACAAAGAAATGCAGACAAATGTCGAAACGAATATTATTCACCAACAGAGATTGATTAATCTTAGAGCAAATATTAATATCAATCTAAATAAAGGTAAACTTTTTAGCAAAGTAGAACAAAGGCGTGTTAGGTCATTTTCGATTTTCCATCGCACGAAAAACCCGTATCGATTCGCCATAAAACGAAACGATCGCCTAACGTTACGACGAAATTGCAAAAAGACCCGGCAATTGCCATTCCTTCCGTAAAATACCATATAGTTATCGCTACGAGGGGTTAGAATATACGAACGACAAGCACCTAGCAAGTTCTCCTCGTCCTAGTTTAGGCGATCAACGTCACCGCTGCGGGATACCGGGCTCTCGACGTTCCTCGCATTTTTCAATCGTGACAGGGTGTATCCACGATCCTGGCTGTCCCGGCTTCCCCTCGTCCCTTCACCCTGCTTGTCTTCTACGGGTTCCTTTTCTTTTCCTTACATTCTACGCTACGATAGACGGACGTTCTCTCCCCCTCCTTCCCGACGACGAAAACAGGTTTACTCCTCCATTACCCGACAGCGCGCTTGCTCCACATTCTTATCTCGGCAGGTGAAATTCGGGATATTCGATCTGTCACGGAAACTCGCTCGACGGAACGATGAATGTGCGATTCAAGACAGCGACAATTACGCGCACGTAAAAAGTAGCGAGTGATGCTGTTAACTCGTAGCGAGTGTACCACTTTGCTCTTTCGATCCGAATTTGCGACTGGCAAATATTTCGGATTTTTTTTTGGGGGGGGGGGGGTAAATGTAAATGTAATGTTATAGTAAAATGTTGAAAAAAGTTTTTAGTTTACATCTAATAAATTAAAATATTTAGAAAAACATGCACAAAGAGGTTATTATTATATAAACTGAGTTGTTCGCGAGATTGGTTTCGTCCGGTTTCGTACTATTTACCGTGTCCACGTTTTCTTTCTGTGTTTCATTATAATTACAGAAAAGCTGAACGGCTAATACAAGTCATCAAATTTCCTGCAAACTTTGCTAAAATCTTCTGACTTGTTTCGCATTTCATCTCGCAGTACAATAGCATGGATAAGTCTGGTTTTACTGTCCTAATGGCAGACGCGAGAAGGCGCATTGTTCTTTTTCTCCATTACAAGAGATCTTTGCCGAGTTCTACTTTCCTAAACTTTAAAGAGACGACTTTTTTGCAGATACGAGAAAGAAACTCGAATGGCACTCCGTTGCTTTTGAAAGTCATGCGGGTGGCCGGAATTCGTCAAACGCGAGGAAGGAGAAAAAATTTCCACACAATACTGGAATAATTAAGTCATCGTTGTTTGACTCGAATAAGCGCGCTTTTGTAACGAGACTTGGTTTCCACGATGGACTTTCGACCATTGCATTGGCCGAAAACGAGAATTTGAGGGCCGGAAATAAACAAGCCGAGAGTATTGATTCCACTGCGGTTTTTTGACTGCATATGTGAAATATGTAAAATGTCATTTTATATGTAAAAAAAATAGTTACTCTCTTTATGTAATTTAAATTATTTCCATATATATATATAATAAGTATAAATTAATATGCAAAATATTCGTGCAAAATTTCGCGTTATTGTTCTCTTTGCAATATAGGAATTTTATTCAAATCAGACCTGATATATAACCGTATATATTATTTCGTTGAATCTTGCTTGCATCGACCATATGCAATTTCGCTCCAAGGCGGCCAACGCAACGTCAAATAAATCGCGACGATGGGCGTGCACGAAAATAAGAGGTATTATCTTTTCTCGTTTTGCAAACTAATCGCGGGTGGAAACATGCCCGGGAGCCAACTGTGCACCGTAATGGAATTTTTTACGAGCGTATCTTACGCGCGAGTCTTTCCGCAAGCTCTCCGCGCGCATATCAAAATCCGCGGATATCTATTCATCGCGGCTATTTTTTTTCGCTCGCGGACGTCGCAGAGTTGCGCGTTTATGTCGTTC